GGGGGGGGGGGGGGGGGGGGGGGGGGGGGGGGGGGGGGGGGGGGGGGGGCGCTAGGTCCAAGAAACCCATCTTCTCACGCTTTTCCCTTTCCATTCATCACTCGAGTCCAGTGGGAATGCTACAAACCAATTTCAGACTTGGAATAATGTGTTTTGGTTTTACATATTAGATGATCGGTAATTGCAACTAAGCAGTGATGAAGTTTTACTTGAAAGTGACAAAACAGAGAATGTGGCTTATAGTTACCAATTAGCATGGTTCCTATTTGGGAGTCAGGTTTTATTCAGGTGCTGTATCTCCAGGTTGCCTCGTAGAAGCTTCCTCATTGCAGGGCCCAACCACATTGAATAATCTTTCTCTGTATTCAAAGCATCGATCAAGAGATGGCCTGGATTCTCCATCGGCTCCATGATAGCCACCGTGCTGCTACTCATGGCACAAAAGTTCCCCATTATCGCATGAACATTCTTGAAAAAATTGTGCGTCACGTAATTGAGAGACTTTATATATTGCCGATTCATACTAGGGAACATACACATTCGTTTCTATAAGCAGCCCTTTCAATACAGAAGTCACTGATGAGATCGTTCTTTCCAAACCGAGGAAGGAAAAGGGAATTCGCCTTCACCATCGGGTGTCTTCGTGTTTCATACCATTCCTCCCCTGTCAAGAAAGAGGAATTCCTCTAGGGGGAAATGCTCATCCCCCGCTCAGCACATCCTCGAGGGAGGTCCTCCCTACCTAGCGCATGGGGTTTGCTGGTTTGGTACATTAGATAGGAAAATGTTATTGGGGTTGGAGAGAAAAGGAAGTAATTTTCCTCAATTTTCACTTAGGTGTGAAATCCTTTTTCATGGCACCCATCATGCAATATGAGGATGTTGAACATGTAAAGCTCCGCAAAATCAATTGTATTATTCTGACAGCGGTTATTAGTCCTCTCCTTGCAGTGATACTTCTATTCATTTGGATGCCACTTAGGGCTGTCTGTGCGTCATATCGTAGTGTTCTAAGTTGAAATCAAAGTTTCTCCTTGTTTTCGAACCGGTCTTCCGAGGTTCAGCGAGAAAGAGAACAGAACGAATAAGCCATTTCCTTCACAGCCAATATTTGCCTTCGTGTCTACCATAAAGCGGAATAGACACAATAACAGGAAAATGACATAAAACATAAAATGACATATTTTCTTCGGCGGCTATCTTGGAGATGTGACACGGCACTAACTTCGGGGAACCGACGAATAGCAATTGTGACCTTGCTTATGCAGGGCTACTCCCCAGCTAGCTTCTTGAGAATGCTGGTAACGAAAAAATTATCGCATAGGTTTGTTTGTCGGACTCTCAGGCGTTTTGCCTAGACAAAATGTATAGATAATTGACCAAAAAGTGGTCATCCTCGTGCTGTTCGAACACCAGCGTTAAGAGATGAAGCGATCCCCATTTCGAGATTAGAAGATGATTCCTAGCAGAAGATTCTGCGTGCAGTCCTGCAGTCCTCGACTGAAACCATCATCTCAAGACTTGTGTGGAAGCAAGTGACGTATATTTCAAATAACTATTTGATTAAAAGTTACCTAACATGTTTAGTATTCATGAAATCCATTGTCTTTTCTTGACCTATGGCATGAATACAGAACAAAAAAAGAACTAAAGGAACATAACCTATTTGTTACTCTGTAGTATAGATCAGAGGTGAGGTGGAACTGGGATATACGTTAACTAATTTGTAGGCATCCTTTCTATTGGTCTTGTTAACTGGTTTACATGGCACAGTTATCAGTCGTTTCTCAGTGTATGCCTCAGTAAAGGATTTTTCCGCTGAAGATAATATCTATTATCTAAGGTTTATGATAGTTATCTTTAATTCAAGAGAACAAAATTGCATAAATTTGATCTATATGCTGTGCATTAACTTGAAGACCAGATGGTGGATTGAGGCTTTCCTCCTAAAAGAAAACAATCTAAGAATGTTTAGTAGAATAGGATGCTGCAATTCCACCTTGATCTGATGAATGATAAATAACATTGAATTTGAACTCACGAGCAGCTTCGTGTCATGCTGGACTTCGTTAGACCCTTGTAAACGGTCCATTGTCGTCTTTAATTCGTGCAATAACTCCTCCATACGTTTTCTTTCCTCTTCCATTGCTTGAAGGGCATCCCTGCCATGCATTGCCCTCAATTGCTTGATCGACTCTTCTAGACTCAGTCGTTGCTGTTCAAGTGCATGGAAGTGATCACTACAATATGAGCTGATACCTATAGGAAACAGTGAAATAAAAGCCAGATGAAAGGAATAAAATGAATGCGCTAAATTTCGATTCATCTATTACTGCGATAACGTCTAAACTGCCGCCTGCGGACAGAATAATATGAAAAATCCTAATAATGTAACTTTCTTTATCACAGGGCTGTATGTGCATGTAATATTAATAGAAAATGGCCTCTTACAGGTCCGTCTTTCTCATTTTCGAGTATGGGTCATTACCCATCGCACTAAAGAAAGGTGTGACCGACCTGTTACAGTACTTTTCAGTAAACGTCATTTATTATACTAGGGTGTCTCAAAAGTTCCCGTGCACATATGTACGTTTTATTTGAGGACATGTTTCGGAATTGAACTTAATTTGTTTGTGTATGTGTTTGGTCCTATCTTGAAGCGCGTGTCAAGGCGCGGATTAATATCTATCGTTGTTGTACATTTCATCTCATTTAGGATAATTGTAGCATCCAGAATGGCTGAAGAGAAACTTGCACTTCGCGTACTGTTGCGTCACTACTGGAAAAAAGGCTTCAGTGCGAAGGCGGCTGCCGAACAAATCTGCGCAATCGAAGGCGAAGGTGTGGTCCACAGAAACACCGCAGCAATTTGGTTCAAACGCTTCAACGA